CCCGCGCAGAGCAGCGTGCGGCGGACTCTAGGTAATAATCCGGGAGGTGTGAGGTCCGCCCCGCCCCGCCGCGCCCCGTCCCCAAACGGGCAGAGGGGAAGAGAGAGGCCAGAGGGGTGGGAGAAGTCGGCCGGCCCCACACGCGGGGTACCCCCCGGCCAGGCAGGCTCCCGTGCACCCCCAACTCACCGCCGCTCCCCGCGGGCCGCCGCTCCGGCCCCGCCACATCCGGACCGCGGCCCCGCCGCACCCGAGGAGGCGGGACACAGGCCGCGCCGGATGTGGAGCTCCCGGAAGTGAGGTGTAAGACGCGCCGCGCACTCTGCTCTCGCGAGAATGGCTGGGGCGCGCGTGGGCTCGCAACCATAGCGACGCGTCGGGGGCGGAGCGCAGGGAGCGGCAGGCGGGGCCTCGGGAGATTCGCCTGGCAAGGAGCGCCCTCTGCGAGCCCTGCGGTGGGCCGGGCGGGCCGCTTCGTCCCTGCGGCGAAGGCCGAGGTGTGTGGAGTGCGTGGGGGCCGCGCTGAGGAGGAGCCGCGCCGAGCCGGGGTTCGCGGCCGTCGGTGTCCGCGGGTCGCGGTGCGGGAGGTCACGGCGCTCACAGGCCTCCGTGCTGGGCCTCTCGCGGACACTCAGTGGCTTGCGAACTGAGCGTCTGCAGTCTCCGCTCGTTCCTGGAAAAGGGCGCAGTTTTTGCTCTAAGTTTTCAGAAATTTAATAATTTTGGCGGAAGGCTGAGGCTGTGGAAAAGCTGGGCATGATCTGGTTGTGTTCCCTCGCCGCCGTCACCAGCGTCACTAGCAGTTGTGTCCTCAGTCAGCGTCCAGCCGGCACTAGTGCAGTTGTGTCCTCAGTCAGCGTCCAGCCGGCACTGGTGCAGTTGTGTCCTCAGTCAGCGTCCAGCCGGCACTAGTGCAGTTGTGTCCTCAGGGTCAGCGTCCAGCCGGCACTGGTGCAGTTGTGTCCAGAGTCGCCAGCATCGGAGCCGCTCTCCTGCGTCATCTTCCTCGCAGTGGAGGAACGCATCTGTGGTACTGCTTGGCACACGCTGTCCGACTGCCTTTCTTTCCTTCTTTTTTTGACAGGCAGAGTGGACAGTGAGAGAGAGAGACAGAGAGAAAGGTCTTCCTTTGCCGTTGATTCACCTTCCAATGGCCGCTGCGGCCGGCGCACCGCGCTGATCCGATGGCAGGAGCCAGGAGCCAGGTGCTTCTCCTGGTCTCCCATGGGGTGCAGGGCCCAAGCACCTGGGCCATCCTCCACTGCACTCCTGGGCCACAGCAGAGAGCTGGCCTGGAAGAGGGGCAACCGGGACAGAATCCGGCGCCCCGACTGGGACTAGAACCCGGTGTGCTGGTGCCACAGGCGGAGGATTAGCCTAGTGAGCCGCGGCGCCGGCTCCCGACTGCCTTTCAACTCGAATGTTTCCGGCTTGCTTAGCTGCTAGGAGAGAGTTTGGTCTTTTCTGATCACAAGGGAATAATTTCCCCCTTCTAAAAACACACATATGAGGAGAGTCGTGGATTTCAACATTGCTTTTTTCCTTTCTTTGGAAGGCAGAGAGAGCCTTGACACTCGCTTGTCACTGCGTTTGTTGAAGTGCTGGTGTGGGATACTCTCACTGCCTTGTTCCAGTACCTATTCCTGCACGCATTGGTTATGAGGAAACAGGGCTGGAGTTTAATTTTATGATTCTGCACAGTTTGTGTTAGGGAGGACGGGTCCGATGCTCGAGGCCATGGTCCTGACAGTCCCAGTGTGCATGGCGCTCTGACGTCCTGTGCGCTTGTTTCCGGTCTTGGGCCTCCGTGCTGCAACTCTGGACCTCGTCCGTGTGCCCCAGAACCTTGGAATCTTCTCTGCTTGACCTGGGGGGGGGAGGGAGGAGTCAGGTGTGGGAGGGTCTTAAAGCCAGGCCCGGGAGGGTCCCAGGCTCCATGTTTCCACACTGCCCACCCCCGTCGCCCTGGCCGGGGCTCACCTGTGTGCAAGGGAAGCGAGGGACGCACTTTGGGCCTGTGTCCAGAGGAAAGGGAGTGGCTGCTGTCATTGTTCCTCCTGCTGACCGAACGCGTGCTGAACTGCTGATGCTACCTGAAGGGCCCTGAGCCCTGCTGAGGGACCCCACCCCGCACAGCACCCTCCCCTCTGTCCTGCCTGGGGGGTCCTCGGGGCCCAGTGACCTCTTGCTTGGGGTGAGCAGGAGTTGGCTCCCAGACTCAGGCAGCTGTTTAAACCCCCGAGTCTTAGGTTATGGTTGATGGAGTAAGGGTGGAGTCCTGGCATAATACAGTGTCGGGGGTGAAATCTGCCATCCCTGTCTGTCTACAACTCCCACTTCCCTAAAGCATGCCCCCTTCATACCTCATTCTCTATCCCATTGCCTTATTTTCTTCCTCATATTCCTCCATGTAGCAAATATTTATTGAGTGTTCTGTGCGAAGGAGGAGAAAGCTTGGCATTGTAGAGGCAAGGTCCTGCTTACAGGGACCCTAGTCCCACGGAGGAGAGGTCACGGCCATGGTGAGGGCGCTCACAGGCCCAGCGTGCTTGGTGCAGAGAAGCAGAGTGTGACGAGGTGGCGTGACAGGGCCCCTTCCCAGTCTGCACAGCCGTGCCTCCAGCCTTTCCCCCTGGAATTTGGAGACTCAAAGTTGGGACAGACACGTTAGCAGGGCCGAGTTATGCTTGTGGCCACCTGAATGGTAGACCAGTTGTCAGTCAAGTGCTTTTGATTCTATTTTTTAATACCTCGGAAGCAGCTAGGATTTTTAAGTTGTATTTTTATTTGTTGTCAGAGACAGCAGAAGCTAATTCTTAGATAAATTAATAAAAACATGCAAACAAAGCAGATACTTCCAATCCAAGCAAGCCCAGTCTCTTCCTAGCCTCAGTCCCATGAGAGTTGTTCAGCTGCACCGTGGCCTTGAATGCCGCATGGTAGAGTGTGCCCTTCTGTGCCAGGGCCACACCGTGAGTGCTGCTGGCACAGGCCGGAGCCCGGCTGGCTGGAGGTGAGGGTTGGTGTCCGGGAAGCTGAGGCGTCGCCTGTGACTCACTGCCAGGAGAACGGATTCACCACGCAGCGCAGGTCGAGGTGCGACTGGTCAGACCGGCACAGCAGGACTCAAGGCCCAGGCTACAAAGGCGCTGTTGCCGGACAGAACATTCCCAGGCCTGGGATGTGCAGGGTTTGAGCAGCTCTGGCCTGCTGAGTCAACCCTTTCTGCCCACATCTCAGACAGACTTTGCATGTGGTCAGCCCCACGCACGTGACCATTGGGATTTGCAGCTGTGCGCTTGCTCTGTGTGTGTGTGTACACACATGCATCTGTATGACACATCACATAGATTGAGAGTTCTTGTGTGTGTGCATGCATGTGAAAGCATGATACATCACACAGGTTAAGTGTCCATTTACGTGCTCACACGCATATTCATACTACGTGATACAGGTTGAATGTGTCGTGTGTGTATGCACATGTGCATTGTCACGAAGCATCCTGCAGAGTCAGTGTCACTGTGCACGCATGTGTGTTCCTGATTCATTATACAGGCTGAGTGAGTGTGTGCCTGGTACGTCGTGCAGGTTGATGTGTGAGTGTGCACTTGGCACATTGTACAGGTTGATGTGTGAGTGTGCACTTGGCACATTGTACAGGTTGACGTGTGAGTGTGCACTTGGCACATTGTACAGGTTGACGTGTGAGTGTGCACCTGGCACATCGTGCAGGTTGATGTGTGAGTGTGCGCCTGGTACATCGTGCAGGTCGATGCGTGAGTGTGCACCTGGCACATCGTGCAGGTCGATGCGTGAGTGTGCGCCTGGTACATCATACAGGTTGATGCGTGAGTGTGCACCTGGCACATCGTGCAGGTTGATGCGTGAGTGTGCGCCTGGCACATTGTACAGGTTGATGTGTGAGTGTGCGCCTGGTACATCATACAGGTTGATGCGTGAGTGTGCACCTGGCACATCGTGCAGGTTGATGCGTGAGTGTGCGCCTGGCACATTGTACAGGTTGATGTGTGAGTGTGCGCCTGGCACATCGTGCAGGTCGATGCGTGAGTGTGCGCCTGGTACATCATACAGGTTGATGCGTGAGTGTGCACCTGGTACATCATACAGGTTGATGCGTGAGTGTGCACCTGGCACATTGTGCAGGTTGATGCGTGAGTGTGCGCCTGGCACATCATACAGGTTGATGCGTGAGTGTGCACCTGGTACATCGTGCAGGTTGAATGTCCCTTTGTGCATGCATGCGTGTTTATGATGCAGCATTGTGGTTGAGTGTTCCTTCGTGCACATGTGTGCATGATTAGGTTCTCTGTCCCTTTGTGTATGCATGTGTGTTCATGGTAATCATACAGATTGAGTGTCCCTTTTATGTGTGTGCATGCGTGCATGGTGCATCACGCAGGTTCTGTGTGTGCACAAATGTGTGTATGTGACACATCATACAGTTCGGGTGTCCTGTGTACGTGTGTGTGCATGGTTGAGTGTCCCTTACCCTAAATGCTTGGGAACAGGGGTGTTTCAGAGTTTGGAGTGTTTTAGACTTTGTAACATTTGTGTGGCTCTCACCAGTGGAAAACTCCTAACCCAAAAGCCAGAAATCCAAAATGCTTCAAAATTCCAGCCCCACTGATGCTCAGAAGCTTTTGGGTTGGTGAAGCTCTGTGTCCCGGAGCAGCTGTGGCTGCCTCGATGCTGGAGCTTCCCCTTGCCCTGGAAAAGGGCCCCCTCCTGTGGGGCTGGGTCCGGAGACAGCTGAGGAAGTCTTGATTTTCTTGGACTTGGTTTAATTTTCTAACACAAAAATCAAAGGAACCTATTGTGATGTCCAAGATTGACTTCTTTAAAAGGCAGAGTTAGGGGGAGAGAGAGGTCTTCCATCTGCTGGTTCACTCCCGAAATGGCCACAACAGCCAGGGCCGCGCCAGACGGAAGCCAGGAGCCAGGAGCTCCCACGTGGTGGCAGGGGCCCTGGTACTTGAGCTGTCTTCTACTTTCCTACGTGCATTAGCAGGGAACCAGATGGAAAGCAGAGCAGCCGGGACTTGAACCTGCTGTCAAGAGGGGTGCCAGCGTTGTAGACAGTGGCTTCACCTGCTGTAGGACAATGCTGGCCCTTACATTATCTTTTTTTTTTTTTTTTTTGACAGGCAGAGTGGACTGTCGCTCCCTTGCCCGCAAAGGAACGACACTTCTCCCAGCTGATCGGTCTTCAGTAGACTTTTATTTAAACAGGATAGAAAGAGAAACCCTTGAGCAAGGGGAGCTCCGAAAGAAAGGGGAAGCTCCCGTACCATATCACAAACAGCTTATATAGTATAACATTGCAGAAGCATGTAAGCAAGCTTAGTCCATGCTACAGTCCATGCGGCGGTGCTCCAGTCGGGTGCCTGATCACGCACAGTCCATGCGCTCCTTGTCCAACCATAAAGGTGATCACGTGTCTTCATCCAATCAAGCTCCTGGTCATGTAGCAGGCGAC